ACAAGCCCTTTCAAACTGTCATGCGCGGGATACGTGGCAAGAATCTGACGAACACGGACCGCAATGCCATCCTCCATCGGCTGCTAGCACTTGTCACGCCGCAATCGTCGACTCAAAGATCGACGAACTTGCCCAAGAGACAGCGTTGATGATTGAACTGAGCGAATTTTGCTCCCAACTCGAGCTTCTTGTGGTTCGAAGCGATCCCGATGCCTACGACGATGTCGATGACGACGATGACCCCGACGACGTAGAAATTGACCTCGACGAGTTCTTTGGTAGTACTTTGTAAATAAATGTCCTTTATATTGTATGTGGATGTTTGTCTTTTTACAGTTTTCAAGGACTGTGCACTTGTAGCAAACTTTGTCGAACTTCAATAATTGAGTTTGTAGCAAACACTTTCGGACGGAGGTAGTAATAATATATATACGTACCAGTAGAGTACCGGTAGTCTGTAAAGCTTAAATTGGATCGAATAGAAGTTCGAATGCAATTTGGCGAAATGAGTCAGAGCATCTCCACTAGTATTTGAAGTTACGGATAAATTCTCTATTATCCGGAGAGACACTAAATTTTCTTGTTTTACGGTTGACAGGAAGCATAAAACCAAATTTCCCGGATAACGTACATTTATCCGAATTTTTTCGGGATATAACAAATGTTATCCGGGAAAACGGATTTTAGTGTTAATTTTAGTGATGTATACTGACTGTACTGTCGCCGCAGTGGAGATGCTCGCACAAGTCCAAATTTGGGTGAAATGCACAATATGAAAAATAATGTTGTAAGCTTACATTGCAGGAGTTGTGCATTTGATAGAGGTCCGTCCTCGCAAGAATTTCTCGTACATTCTGCATATCCATAGAGGTCGTGTTGTTTGTGGTTGAATCGATGATTGCCAAAAATCTCGCAAACATACTTTTTCTTTTGTAATAATAATAAAATAAAACCCTCCACAAAATTTTACGATGCGAAGTCCAAAAATCAATCTCACGTCACCAAAATATATGCAAATTTATACATCAAAGCCTCTATGAATTGATATTTCCAGAACTAACAGTAAGTGAATTTGGGTTTGCCCCAAAATTCTTCTATCCGGAAGAATTTGGAGAGTTTATTTTCGTTTGCGAGATTTTTGGCAGTCATCCAATCGGCAGCACCCATTCGAAACACAAAGTCGACAGTACTCTCATTTGTACTTCGAGCTTTTTTACTTAGAGTGTCTCCACCACGGTGAAAGTATATTTGGCACTAACTGTAATAATAATGTTTTAGAGGTTTTTCTATAATATATACGAAGTACTGGTAAACGTTTTGGTAAATAACCAGGGAAAGCAAGAGTCTGGATTTGACCTTATTAGGGAGATTTCGGAGACGAGTATTTATCATTATCCTTAAAATAATATAGAGATGAGGAAAACTCCGGAACTAGTAACTGAATCCCTCAAATGGGTCCATTTTGAGGATTCGAACCCTCGCCCGTGATTGGCCAGATCTGTTGACTTGGTGCACGCTTTTTGTTGGCACTTCGAATGGAGTACAGGGAACGACGGAATGCAACGCCTACCGAAGATTTTTTGGTGTAATGACAGACAACTTCCAATCAGATTTGAATATGAAAATATAGCTCGATGATTGGTGGAATTAAAATACTTCCCGCCAGATTCAATGCAAAAAATAATCCACGACAAGCACATTTAAAAATGCGGCGACGGGCGTATCCGATATCCACGAAGCTCGAAGCATTGGGAATGCTGGAAACCATGTCCGTCTACAAGGTGTCGGCTGCATTGGACGTCCCACGACGCACGTTGCGAGATTGGATGGCCCAAAGGCACGAGATCCTAGCGTACGACGGTAATTTGAAAAACATGAAACTTGAAACTGGTGGAAGATACGAGGTCTTTCCCGACCCGCCAGGACTCATCGAGTTCATCAACCACGTTCGGGACAACGAGCGCGCCCTCACGACCACGCACCTCATCCTATGGATCAAAGCCAACCAGTGCGAGTGGTTGACCAACTATCTCGTCACCAAGCAGCAGCGGACGTCGTACGACTCTCTCCTCCGCCTACTCCAGTGTTTCTGCGATCGCCACGGCTTCTCCCGCCAGCGTCCAACCTAGAACAAGGTCAAGCAAGCTGATCTTGTTGAGGTGCAGAGCGAATTTGCCTCGTAGTTCCACAGCGAGTACATTGCCTATGGCAAGGACTACGTCTACAACGTTGACGAAACGGGTATCTATTACGACATGCCTCCGCGCTACATTTGGGCCGTGAGAGGCGGAAGCTCGAAAATCTCCAGCGGTGAGAAGCATTCGCTTCGCATGACCGCGGTCCTCACGGTGCGAGCTGACGGCACAAAACTGCCCATCCTCTTCATCATGAAGGGGGTGCCCGGCGGTCGCATCGAAAGCGGCGAGCTGGCCACGTTTCTATCCGGCCATCACTATGCGGTTCAGGAGCGTGGTTGGATGGACAAGCGAGTCTGGGCCACGTACCTCCGGGATGTACTTGGAGAATCGATCGAAGAGCCGTCATTAGTATTGCTGGACAACTTCGAGTCACATGTGTCGGGTGAGTCATACAACATCATGTACGAAGAGCTTGGGGCTCACTTGTGTGCGTTGCCGCCGAATGTGACGTCCGTGTGTCAACCCTTGGATGTCGGAGTGATGGCGCCGTTTAAGCGCAACCTCCGCAACTTGTGGCTGCTCGAAGACATCATCGTTGGAGATGATGATGATCCATTTTCACTTACCGCGCGTGAAAAGCGCATGGCATTAGTGAAGCGGTCGATTGCAGCGTGGGACCTCGTGTCGAGCCAAGAGATCCGCCGCAGTTTTGAGAAAGCTCTCCCCCAGGCCCAATAATTTCAGCGTTAAAACAATTTCCACTGAAATTAATTTAGTTATCTTCCTTTTTGTATTGGATTATGATTAATGTGAAAATTATTGGAAAACGTT